TCTTGCTCTGTTGCCCAGGCTGGAGTGCAATGGCACGGTCTTGGCTCACTGCAATCTCCATCTCCCAGGCTCAAGCAATTCTCCTACCTCAGCCTCCCGAGTAGCTGGGATTACAGGTGCACACCATCATGCCCAGCTAATTTTTGTATTTTTAGTAGAGGCAAGGTTTCAGCATGTTGGCCACATTGGTCTCTAACTCCTGACCTCAGGTGATCCACCTGCCTCGGCCTCCCAAAGTGCTGGGACTACAGGCGTGAACCACCACACCCAGCCAAATACACACATTTCAATCTACTATAGGTAACTGGTCAGAAGGAATTTATTAATACCATTAAAGAGAACCTTCTCCAGCATCTCAAATGTTTTATAATAGATTGTCAATGACCCCAGACTAATAGTAAAGATATAAGAGCCAATACTACTGCCAAAACTCAGAAGTTGAGTTTGAAAATGTTAATCAGGCACTGAATTACATAAGATTTAATTTCTTTACTCTTTCCTCTCCTCTTTATTTTAGTCTCCTTGGGTATACAGCCTTGAAAAGAAAAAAAATTTAGGCCAGGTGCAATGCCTCCCAGCACTTTGGGAGCCCAAGGCAGGCAGATCACCTGAGGTCAGGAGTTTGAGACCAGCCTGCCCAACATGGTGAAACTCCTGACTCTAATAAAAATATAAAAATTACCCGGGTGCGGTAGTGCACACCTATAATCCCAGCTACTCAGGAGGCTGAGGCATGAGAGTCGCCTGAAGAGGAGTCGGAGGTTGCAGTGAGCCAAGATCACACCAGTGCACACCAGGGAGACACAGCAAGACTCTATCTCAAAACAAAACAAAAACATTGTTTTTTGGCCATGCACAGTAACTCACCTGTAATCCTAGCACTCTGAGAGGCCAAGGAAGGCAGATCACTTGATTTCAAGAGTTTCAGACCAGCCTGGGCAACACAGCAAAACCCCATCTCTACTAAAAATACAAAAAAATAGCCAGGTGTGGTGGCACACACCTGTAGTCCCAGCTACTTGGGAGGCTGAGGTGGGAGGACTGCTTCAGCCCAGGGGGCAGAAGTTGCAGCGAGCTGAGATTGTGCCACTGCACTCCAATCTGAGCAACAGAGCAAGACCCTGTCTCAAAAAAAAAATTTTTTTTATTTCCCCATTCCAGATCACTTTTTTTTTTTCGAGGGTCTTGCTCTGTCGCCCAGGCTGGACTGCAGCAATGAAATATTGGCTCACTGCCCTCTTGACCTCCAGGCTCCAGTGATCCTCTCACCTCAGACTCCCTCATAGCTGGGACTACAGGCACACACCAGCAGTGACAGAATCTTGGCTCACTGCAGTCTTGGTCTCCAGGCTCCAGTGATCCTCCCATCTCAGCCTCCCGAGTAGCTGGGACTACAGGCACACACCAGCACACCTAGCTAATTTTAAAAATTATTTTATAGAGACAGGGTCTCTCTATGTTGCCCAGATTGATCTCAAACTCCTGGACTCAAGTGATCTGCTTCAGCATCCCAAAGTGCTAGGATTACAGGTATTAACCACCATGCCTGGCCAGAACACTATTATTAATAGTCTGGCAAATATTACTACAGATTTTTTTCACTGCATGGTTTTTAATATTGAAAAATTATATACAACATAAATTCCCAACATTAGGAAAACAAGGGCATTATGACACAGTGAGAATTTGTTTTGTTTATGCTATAATGTTAAACTAAAAATATAGGCTTAAGGCATTATATATTAGGAGCTTAATCACATTTGTGAAAAGCATATGAAAAACAGCTTGGGCCAAGTATGGTGGTTCATATCTATAAACCCAGCACTTTGAAAGGCTGAGGCAGGAGGATCACTTGAGTCCAGGAATTCAAGACCAGCCTGGGCAACACAGTGAGACCCTCTCTCTACAAAAATAAAAATAAACAAAAAGGTTTTTTAAAGAGCTTGAAGAAAATATATTAAAATACTAATGGTGTTTACCTCCACATTACAGGGATACAGATGGCTTGTTTTTCTCTTATTTTTATTTTGCATGTTTTCCACAGTGGACACACATTACTTTTATAAATATAAATGTTTAAAAAACGCAACCAAAATGCTTCTCCAAACATTAAAACAAAACAAAATTGGAAAACAATCTCAATGTCTAATAAAAGAGAGACTGTCACAATAAATGAGTACACAGTCATGTGGTAGAATAAATATGAGGCTAATTTAAATGTTTGTATGTGTACGCAATCTATATAGGCATATATGAGAATTTTATATCGTAATATTTTCCATGTTGTAAGAAAAACAAGTTGTGAAATTAAAATACTGGAGTAAATACAGTGTGATTACAACTTTTTAAAATCCTATATGGAAAAAAGTCAATTGTTTGTATTCTTCCACAAAAGTAACACATTATAATTTAAAACTTTTTTTTTTAATAAAATACAAAATTTGCTATCTATTCTGTTAGTTTTTGGGGGTGACAGGACCTTATTAGGACCTTTATTATTATTAATGTTGACTAACACTTCCACTATCCTGCAAACAATACTCGTTACTTGTAGTACTGCCTGTGTTTTACGTACATGCTAGTTCCATGAAAAATAGATTACATGGTCAAATATATGTGGGATATGTTGCAAGTTATAATCCCCTCTTGGAGACATAGAATGGACATATACTGAAGACTGTGAAGCATTTCAGTTAATGGGGACACCTTGCTTAAATCAGCACTTCCCAACTTTGCTTAAGCATGCTAATTAACTGCATATTACTTTGTGACACTTATTTTTTATCATTAACTACTCCACCTACTTCCAGAATGGGAATGAGATAACTCTTACATGAACACATGTTAATTAGCACAGATCTGAGTTGAAGCTATCAAAAATAGATAGCACATTTCTCCAGCTAGATTACAAGCAGCTTAAGGACATACACTGACATAGTTCTTTGTCTTCCAACAGCACTATGACACTGCTTATAAACTGATTACCAAAACTAAAGTTTGACTGGAGTTTAAAAGAAAATCTTACCATCCATCACTATCAGCAGCATTTACATTTACACCAAACTGTACCAGGAACTTAACGATTTCTGTGTGACCTGCACACACAGCATTGTGAAGAGCCGTGATGCCTTCATCATTGGGCAGGCTTGGGTCATCAACCTATATCAATAAGAAGAGTGAGTATCACTCTACTTTCTTGTCACCTGAATTGTCACTACTAACTGGCTACTTTAGGGTCAAAAGGACAGAAATAGACTGTTGTGACACTTAAAAATCATAATTAAAACCTATAGGGGCCAAAAAAACTATACCAAGAACAAGTCTAGAAATAAGACAGACAGAATAACCACATTAAGTAGGCAGTCACTATAAAAAGGTTTTCTTTAAAAAAAGAAGTACCAGAAACTATATCCTTTTAGTCATTTCTGTTTATTTACCCTTCCAACTTCTCACCACAAATTAGTTTCTAAGTAGAAGTTGCATTTGCTATGGAAAGCAAAAAAAGAGTCAACTAAAAATATTTTAAATAGTAGGCTTCTGAAAAGTAGAGACCACATTTCTAACCTAATACAGTATAGTAAAAATCCATACATGAACAATTTCTAAAGGGGAGTAATGATCTCTCTTAAGAAAGAAAAGTACTCTAGAGGACTCCATGTGAAAACTGAACTGCCAAATGATGACAATTCTATAGCCACACCTTTAAAATAGCATAGCCTATCCTAAGGCGTGCCTAAGCATTCCTGAACACAATCCCACAATTCCAAAAAGAAAAAAGAATTTAAAAATACAATTTCTCTATAGTAGCTTTCTTGTTAGAGCTTTAAAACAATAATACAAGGTCATATTTAAGAAATTTACCAATTATAATCATACCTCATAAATAATTCTCTGTACAAGGTCAAATTCTCCCTCCAAAGAGGAATCTAGCAGTAAAGCAAGGGGGTTGAATTTCACCCTCATTCCATGAGCAATACGCTCTGAGCCGGTTTTACGCAAGTTTGTCCTTTTACCCTGCAAAGAAAATGGGTGGAAAATTTAGGGTCCTGGAAAATCTCATCCTCTAAGGATGAGAACAGCAGCAGCAAATGGGAAGAAACTTCTTCTCAGGATCTAATATCCTACAAAATAGGTGTCTTAAACACACCCAACAAAGTGGAGACATTTCCTGTTATGAGGTATGACATATGTACTCCACATATTCCTTCATTTTATCTCAGATTTGGAAAACTGCCAAGTTTTAAAAAGCATTAAGTGACAATCAATATATTTCACAATGTTCAATGGCTAAAATGCTGTTCTTTGAATGTTATCTGACTGTGGTAAATACAACTCATAAGCAATACAGTGTAATGACACTTGCCAATCCTACTGTTAAAGAATGTATGACAGTTGTTTCTATCTCACCTAAAACAAGAAGGAAAAAGTAAGCCACTTTTCTAGGAAGAGAAGAGCAGAATCCTAAAAAGAAAGTAAGATACTTTTACCAATTCTAGTTTTCCATTTTTCTCCTTGAATATGTGGATTATTTTGACACAGCAACAAAAAGGCCAGAAAATAACAAGTGGCTGTAATGTGGACTGGGTTTGGCCAATGTGGCATAAAACTTCCTTCTTTTTTTTTATGTTTAAAACTCAAAGAGAAGCAAGCCTTAGAACTTAGGAGGCAGAGAGTTGTTTAAAAACCGTTAACCTCTATTTAAATTTTTTTTTCTAGTTTCAAATGTTTAGTACATTAAACTTTTAAGCAAACATTTACTGTAAATTGTTAAAAATAATTCTGGACAATCATTATCTTTGAATACTATCATATCTAAAAGATGTAAGGGATCAAACATGCAAGGTACACTTAAAAATTTTTTTTAATGCTATTTTCCTTTTGACCACGTTTTAAGTTCATAGTTCAGCAACCTACTTCTTTCCGTGCTTACTGAAGTAAAGTGACTTCAAATTAAACTATGAAGAAGCAGACTTCATTTAGACATTCTGGGATTTTTATTTTCTCTCACCAAAGTGAGAAAATGGAAGCTTAAATTTCAAACGAAAGCTTACTATGTGGAAGGAGTATGGAAGATGCACTCAAGCCAAAACATACAAAGTTTTGGAATAACTTTGCATGTTAAAGTACAAGGAAATCTTAGGGATCCCAGGTTAGCCTGAGATTTTCAGACTTCACTGAAGGGAAGGAAAAGGCTTATGAGGGGAACCCCAGCCCAGTTACCCCTCCCTACCCTCATTTCATCCAAAACCCTTCCAATTTTACCACTGTTTTAAGTTTGAGGTTTCACCTAACATTTCATTTTTTTAAATTTCACTGCTAGAAAATTTGGAAAAAGACTGACATCACCAATGAGAGAAGTTATACCATCTGCCTGATTTCACACAGCTAAGCTAGTAATCAAAAGTTTCAGACCCAGGTCTTTTGAGTCCCAGTCGAATGTTGCTTCCCTAATTATGTGACATCAGCTAGAGAAGAAACAGCAAATGCAGTGTTTATAGGGATAAGAACAAAACTCTGTTTCTTTCACAAATAAATGGGTTATCTCTAAAAAAGAAAAATGTTCTTTATGCTGAATAAATTACATTTTGATAACATTTATAAGATCCACTCTGTACCATGGGAATTGTAAAATAAAAACGCAAACTGGAGAAGAATGTGGCCACCAAGAAGACTATAACAAAGTAAAAGACTCCAGAAAAGGCCATGAGACTGCACATTACTTACAGGAGGCAGAGAGACCTGCCCAGTGATTTCAGGCGGGCGCATGCTCACTGAGTCTTCTCCCGGCCCTTCAGGCTCCGGGGATGGGTATGGTGGGGGTGGGTATGGAGGGTACTCCTCCAGGTACACATCAAGCAGATGGGGAGCCTCTGGATTTGGTTCTTCCGGGTTATTCTGGAGATTTGGGCTGTTGTCTGGAACTCCCTCGGGCACACAATCAAGGCCCTGAGAAGGAGCTGGCATGTCACTGTTCTCTGTACTGGCACTCCCCACATCCTCTGGGGACAATGGTTCAGGAACCAGAGAGACCACCTCCTTCTCGGGCTCCACATGTAAATATGGATTCTGGATTTCTACTGGGCTTTCTGAGCTGGCAGCCACAGAAGCTGACTTGGATGGGTATGATGGGACAGAGATGGTCTCCATGGCCGCTATGGTGGTCCTCTGATACAAAAGCTTCTGAATGTTTGGCCCGTTAGGACCCTCTGGCTCTGTAATAGAGCTGCGTTTCTTTAGTGGCCTTGGTGCATTAGACAGTTTCTTTCGTAGGGCTTCTAAATCTGCATCACTCTGGTTTCGGTAGGGATTAGATAAGAAGGGCAGTAATTTGGTTGGGCTGAGTGGGCGAGGAATTCTTTCATTTTCATGGTTCTCCTGAACTGAAGTAACAGGCTCTGTTTCAGGTTCTGGACTGCCAGGCTTGCCCTGGCTATTGGAATAAATGTTCTCTGGGTGCTGCTGTTGATTCTGGGCAGCAGCAATTACAGGCTTACCATATACTAATTGGAAAAGAAAAAAAACCCTGATTAGCATTAATTAAACAAAACTGGCAAGAAACAGAAATAGCTAACAATAACTAAAGCCTCTTTTAATTTCATCGTTGTTACTACACAATGCCCTTCAAATATAATTAATTTTTAAAAATAACAAACGACAAAGAAAGGAATCCATCTTTGCATAATAAACTTATTACAGAATCAAAACCCCCACTGATTGTAACATGCACCATTATCTCATGAAACAATAAGAAAATGTTGCCAATTTTAAGAAATCACTGGCTGTAGCATCCAAATTTAAAATAACAAAATGTGAAAACCATTTAGAACCAATGAAAACAGATAATCCTCTCGTGTCCAGATTAAAACTAAACATGTATTATCCCATCTTTCACTTTTCAAAAGTGAATCAATGTGAGAAATCCTATTTGGCTTATAAAATTATTAAGAACCACTTATAGTTACCAAAGCTATTCCCTGTTAGCATTCTGATTATATTAAAATTATCTAATTCCCAAATTATTCCATTTTCACCAAGGCCCACGAAAAGAAAACATTCTTTGCTGTCAAATTTCAATTATGACATCTTAGGTCACAATTATATGGTTATTTCATTACTACAAAGCTATTTCCATTTAATTAAAACATGGCCAATTTTATTCCAGTCCTATAAAGTAATAATTTACAAAGAACCCAACAAATTTCCAAACTGTGTATGTTTAATACAAATTAACCTTAATTATATTTTTACATATAGTTAGTGGCTATGTCCTCATTACAATGACTTAAAATACAGTAGAGAATATTTCTAATAATATATATAGACACATACACATATATAAAGGGAGGTGCGTGCGTGTGTGTGTGTGCGTGCGTGTGCACGCACGCGCACACGCACATGCACAGGGGCAGTGGTCCAGTCCTCTATGTGACAAGAACATCTGATCAACCTACTGTGAAGACACATACCTTCCTTCTGCACTGTAATGACCCATGTACATTTGTTTTCCACTCACCAATAAGCCCCTCCAGACTTGAGACCACACTTCATTGATCTGTTAACTTTACTGCCTACTACTACAGGAACAGACATTTTGCAAGCACTCTTTTAAACACCCAGTAAAGAACAGAAGTCACAGTTAAACAAAACCCTTAGCCTCAGTCAGAACAGGGATTCATCATTTTGATGTCTGCTGAGAGATGGTAGCTCTGATACAGAACTTAAGCACATCACCTAGGAACATGAAGAACCTTACCACTTGAAAAGTGTGGCCCTCTGGTATGAGTCTTGGTCAATGCACTCTGCACAGCCTGCTGGAAGTTTTTTCCTGGAGCCTGCTGCTGCGTGTACATGGAATATATTGAACTTGCTGCCACGGTCTGGGGTTTTCTGAAGGGTGGAAGTAAGGTGTCTTTGGAAGGCTGGGGAGTAAAGGGCCGGACAGCAGCAGCTGGTGGACTTTCTTGCTTAGAACCTGGAGAAAGGGTCTGGTCTTGACCAACTGAAGGTATGCTGGGAGAGAGCAGCACTCTTGGCTGCTGCCCTGCTGGTTTTGGTTTAGTTCCCATGGACGGAACAACTGTTGACAATTGCTGAGAATTTCCATCTGGTTTAATGTCTGAAGGTGGCTGATTAGTTTGTCCAAAATAAGGTAAATTAATCTGTTTTGGTTTTGTAGGAACAGGAGGTGGTACTTTAGCCACATTTTTATTTGCAGCCTATAACACACATTAAAAGAAGTCAGTCAAAATACTACATAACTAGGTACACAGGATGTTCTAGATAACCTAATTTCACAAATGTTAAGTATTCACTATAAAAATATTAGCTCTATTTTTTTAAATGTTAGTTTTTGTTTTGTTTCATATGTTTATCTTATTTTTGTACAGACAGGGTCTCATTTTGTTGCCCAGGCTGGTATTGAACTCCTAGTTTCAAGTGATCCTCCCGCCTCAGTTTCCCAGGGTGCTAGGATTACAGGTGTGAGACACCACACCTGGCTATTCACTAGTTTTAAATCTCTGTATTTACTCACATTGACTAACAGACTTCAATAATGTAATAAAATATCTCCCCTTTATGATTTCCTCCTTGTTTCTACTTCCTATCTGGGCAATTTTAATACATTTAAGTGCCCACTTGAAAACTTTTATTGTCATCTTTCATATTCACAGATGGCATCAATAATGGGAAACCATTATTGTTCACTCAAATTTCATGCAATTTAGACAACTGCCATAACACACACCTAATTTGGAACACTCACACATAACCTGGTTATCAAAGGTTAAGACTGTAACAGTTAAAGATAATTCACCAAACAATCATTTTGTAATTTTGAAGAAATAAGATACTTGAACAGTAGAAATACAATGTTCTTCAATGCACTTATACTTTTTAAAGAATCACACAAAATATGACCCAGCAGCAAGTATGTCAGCCGCTGCCTCTGGTCTGAGAGCACAAACAGACTCACACAAAAGAAATTAAAGTAACAGAATGCTAATATATTTTCTAATCTCCTAGGTACATCCTGTTTCTTCTGTTCTCCCTCATATAATACTTTATCCCTTCTAAAAACTGCATTATACAATCACTATTAAAATTTCAAAACCAGGATATTCATAGGTACCTGAGCATCCCGTAAGATATCTTCACTGCTCTGGTTCTTCCTCAGAGTACCGAAGGAGGGTGGGGCAGCGGACTGGTCTACTGCATCAAACATTGAGAACGGACGCACTTTCTTCTCTTTCTCCCTCAGGGGAATCTCTCCATCATCAACTAAAGACAAAAAAATCACAATGACATTCAAACTGTTTGGAATAAAATATCTTATTCACTCGTAAGTTTCTCTCTCCTAAATCTCTCCGAAAATCTGTGTCCACAAAGCGTGTTCCTATTTTTTAATTAAATTAATAAAAGGATAACTCAAGTGCTATAATAATAGAACCTGAGTTCTCCAGCTAAATTAAGGTGTTCTGGAAATAAATACCATTATATATTGTCCCTAGTGTTAATACACTAGAAAATGAATTATCAGCCGGGTGCAGTGGCTCACGCCTGTAATCCAAACACTTTGGAAAGTAGAAGCGGGTAGATCACTTGAGCCCAGGAGTCCAGTCTGGGCAACATGGCAAAACCACATCTCTACAAAAATTACAGAAATTAGTCAGGCATGGCGGCACGCACCTGTATCCCCAGCTACTAGGGAGGCTAAGGTGGGAAGATCACTTGAGTCCAGGAGGTGGAGGCTGTACCAGTGAGCCATGAGCACACACCACTGCACTCCAGCCTGGGTGACACAGTGAGATCCAGGAAGGAAGGATGGGAGAAAGGAAGGATGGAAGGATGGAAGGAAGGGAGGATGGGAGGAAGGGAGGATGGGAGAAAGGAAGGATGGGAGAAGGGGGGGGGGGGGGGGGGGAGGAAGGGAGGAAGGAAGGAGAAAGGAAGGAGAAAGGAAGGAGAAAAAAAGGAAGAAAGGATAGATGGACATACAGAAGGTAGGAAAAAGGAAAGAAAATGTACTATCTAAAAAGAATACACAGCACCTTTTAGACGACCAAAATTTAATATTCAGGAGTAGCACAAATAAATCTCACCTTGATCCAGAGCATTCCCAGAGCTTTGAGGTGCAGAAGCAGAGCCTTGGCTCAGGAAAAGATCTGCATTTGAAGGACTCCAATCAGAGCCAACTGGATGGATTTTAGAGCCTAAAATACAGAAAAGCAAATAATTCAGCATTCTAAAGAGATTTTTAATGGTTCTTTTTGCTAAGACTTTTAATCTCTAAAAACAGCTTTAAATTCGAGACTCACAACACCCCAATAAATTTACTTAGAAAATACTATATTCGATTTTATATTTCTAATTTTAGATTCTTCCACTTTACTCAAGCAATTTAGAATTAGTCACAGCAAATAGAAAGTCTGCTTGAACCAGCAAAAACACATTATTCTTCACTGTGCTAGAAAACATCACCCTCACACCCAGAAAGTGATTTCCAATTCAGGAGACCTAAGGGTCTAAGGCGTATTTTATACACAGTATTTTAACGTTTCCAATTCAGAAGACCTAAGGGTCTAAGATGTATTTTATAAATGATATTTTAAGTGATACATGCACAACAAAAAAGTAAGTATGTGGACTCTTAATCCAGGACTTCAACTGTGGTCTCACAAATCAGTATAGTCAGATTTTTTCTGCACTAATACTTAAATTTCAAAAGCCACTGCTTTCATTTTTCCTTACAGAAACAAAGCAAATATAACTCTTTCACAGTAAAATCCAGACTACATGATACTACTGCTTCACAGTAGTAATTATGGTAAAATAACAAAAATAATTTGAAAATCAGCTATTTTTTCCATATGATTATGATTAGAGAACAGAGACAATACTGGCTATGACTTCTTCCATCCAGGGGTCTGAATACGGTCATCAAAGGATGCTTTATCCCAGTTTTCCTACAATTCTCCCACACTTTCTCCTCCCATTACCCAACTCTGGCTTGCCCCTCTCCATGTATCCGACAACTACACAGAATGCAAAGATCATTTTGTATTCTAACACAAGGAGCCTCTGCTATTTTCACTTTTAATCTCCCAATATGGTTAAAGTTATTCTAAAAATTAACAGCAGACAAATTCTCACATGTAAGCAGATATGAATATTTAATACCACTCATCAACATAATAGGTTCAGAACCTCACCGTCTGTAAAAATGACACCATTAAAACTTACATATGTTTTTATACAAAAAGAAAAGTTCTCTAGTTATTAATAACAGATCAAAATTTCCTTAGTAGCAAGAATGAACTTTTTAAAACACTTTTCAGGTTTACAAAGATACTGTATTTTATTTCATTTCCTGAATAGAGCTGTATTATTTAGGGTTAAAAAAAAATTATCCTTGTATAACTATGATATCCATTTTAAGTTTTTTTTAACTTATCATTACACTACCAAAGAATACAAAAGCATATTTAGAATTCAAACATGAACAATGAATTTTAACAAAGAGATTTTTTTAAAACTCAAACTTGGAAGAAAGAATAGTGGGGACAGGAAAGAACCAGGCTGTGCAGGACTTGGAAATGACCCATTTTTACCTTTAGTTTGTGAAGCAGCCCCAGATCTCATGTTGGGCAGTGTCTGTATTTTCATCGGTCCCTCTGAAGCCTGCATGACCAAGGAACCATCCGGCAGGGCTGGCTTCACCAGCAATTCAGGCCTTGAGGGCATCCGAGGCATAGTAGACGACTGGATATAGGGGCCTACTGCAGCCACACGGCTTGGGGCTGACACGACTTGCTGGGGCAGACTTCCATCAGACGAAACCTTAGGAAAAAGCACAGGTCCTCCAGCGTTAAACATCGTCTTAGATGATCAGACTTATAAAAAGACATGACATTTTCTTATTTTTTAAAATGAGCACTTTGAGAATCTAGCCAGAGTCTACAAAAAAACACCCCAAAATAAACACTCCCCAATGAACTCTCACCCACACTTTATTAAAAGTATTAGAAAGACAAACAGAGCTACACAGGTAGTAACATTAAGAAGTAAAAAAAGCAGCGGATTATCTTTTGAGGATCCATAAACAGCGTCTGTGTTCTGAGGGCACACTGAGTAATGATTCTGAAGAAGGCGCCTATGAATAGCCTCACTGGGCTGGTCATCTTTTTGCCTCCTCCCCCAAACCATTACAAAACGGCCCACTTACTGGTAGATTTTCTTTTTGCTGTAGAGCTGCCTTCTTCTTCCACAGCCGGTCCCTTAACTCATTAACACGCTTATCCATGACTGCCACTTCTGAATTACGCTTATTCAAACACTCCCTCTGTTGTTGTAGCTTGGCATTCTGCTCTTGATTCAGTTTGTTTCTTAGCTGAATAAAAGAGAGGGGAAAAAAGGTAGCCAAGGAGTAGGAAGAAAATGTCTCAAACAGTTAATCACATGGTTAACTATTATATAATTTCTAAAAATATGAGGTCCCTCCACCCCTCCACACTTCTCATGTCATGGTTTAAAATTAAGTGACACCTGTGCAAGACCACCAGCTGTGGTTATGAGGAATGTCTCAAATCTCCTGTCTGGGGTACTAGAGTTTACTCTGGATTCTCTGGAGTTTAGGTTCTCCCCACAACCTGCTCCCTCTTTAATGAAAGGCAACTGAAATCTAGCACCTCTTGCCACTTAGATGAGCAACTCTGTTTCTGGAAAGAAGCCTGCACAGCATTTAGCAAACAGCTTCGGTCTACCTGCAGCTCCTTATAGAGGCGATCAAGCTCAGCCACCGCAGACTGACTGTCATGGTGGCCGTCGATCCTGCCGTTCTTGAGCATCTCTAGCTGCCTGGTTAGTTCTTCTACTTTTGACACAGCCAGGACGAGCTCCCTCTGTTTTTGCTGGAACAAACTATTCATCTGTTCAATTTCCTCCACTAGATGAGAAAGAGAACAACAACAGCAGTTGAAAAGAAAAATAAGAATGGACTACTTCCCAGGCAACCAGCTTTACAATAAGCTTTCTAATAAAAAGTAGAAAAATTTTTCAGAATGTCCTAGAAGCAACCTACTTCTTTTAGAAGCAACTGGAATCAACAGAGACACCTCTAAATCTCTGTGCTTCAATCTCAATGTATCTTTATTGGAATCTGCATTAAAATTATTAAATTCCCAATTTTATAAACAATAAAAATTTCTTTAGAACTTTCGATTTTATAAGATTATATGGATCTATTAAATTACTAACACTCTGATTAAAATTGTATTGTAATAGTTGGAGCTATTACATGAATAAAAATCGTTGTCTTCATCAAATTCTCAGTCAAAATATTTAGAGGGGGAAAAAATTCTACATTTCCAAAAGTATCTTAGAAATCTTGTATAAAACATTCAACAGTTGAATTCAATTCAGAGGAACATGCAGCATCCAAACTGTAGTGAATTACATTTTTTCAAAAGATTCCCTTTAAAGTTATCTACAGATCAGCCATGGTGGTTTGCACCTGTAACCCCAGCTACTCAGGATGCAGAGGTAGGAGGATCACTTGAGGCTAGGGTTCAAGACTAGTCTGGGAAACATAGTAAGACCCTGTCTCAAAAAAAAAAAAAAAAAAAAAAAAGACAAATAAATGTAGAAAGAAGTAAATCTACAAGGAACAACTCACCAAGTTTCCCATTGCTTAGTCTCTTCTGTTCCACGTGGCCTTTAAGTGCTCTCACTTTTTTTAGCTTAGCTTCCTGATTCTCAGCTATTTCTTTTAGCCTTTTAAGCTTCTCCTGTTCAGCAGCTTGTTGCTGTTGTCGCTGATCTTGTTGTTTCAAAAACTTTAAGCGCTGTTCCTAAAGATAAAAGCAATCATTAGGTATGTCATTTTAGGTAGGTATACCACTAAGCTCAAAAATAAACTATCCACAACACTTAGATGTTGAGACTGAGGTGCTCTGTAACCCTGGTCTGGTCTCACCTTCTTCCTAAACACTGCCATTATAATCACATTGGAAGTCTGTTCAAAACAGATATTCCTGAGCCCACCTTAGAATCTTCTGCGGATAAGATCCAGGAATCAGTTTTTTGTTTGTTTGGTTGTTGTTGTTGTTGTTGTTGTTGTTGTTGTTGTCCCAGGAATCAGTTTTTTGTTTGTTTGGTGGTGGTGGTGGTTGTTGTTGTTGTTGTTGTTTGAAACGGAGTCTTGCTCTGTCTCCCAGGCTGGAGTGCAGTGGCACAATCCTGGCTCAGGGCTATCTCCACCTCCCAGGTCAAGCAATTCTCCTGCCTCAGCCTCTTGAGTAGCTGGGATTACAGGCACCCACCACCATGTCTGGCTGATTTTTGGGTTTTTAGTAGAGACAGGGTTTCATCATTTTAACTAGGCTGGTCTTGAACTTCTGACCTCGTGAGTCAGCTGCCTCAGTCTCCCAAAGGGCTGGGATTACAGGCGTGAGCCACCATGCCTGGCCAAAAATCAGTATTTTTAATCCAAGTGGTTCTTATGCAGCAAGGATGCAGTGATTCTTGAACTACTTTTCATCAAGTGTTGCAACAATTTTAAAAAGCAGTAGAAATGGGAAGCATTGTAAGAAAAGCATTTAAATGCACAAGATTTGGCGTACATTTAGATTCAAACCCAAGCTCTGCCACTTATTAGGTATGAGGCCTTGAATATACTGCATAACCTCACCAAGTATGCAAGTCTATGTTTCTTCATTTATAAAATGGGGATGATCAATAGTAATTACCAATGTTACTATAGCGAAGATTAAACAAAATGTGAAATGTAAATCTCTTTGAATAGTATTTTACATAGTATATACTCAATAAATGGTCACTGAAAAGAGCTGAAGAAATATTTAACACCTTTAGAAAGCTGCAATCATGGAATCTGAAATTATGTTTCTTCCCACTCCCCAAGCAAAATTTCTGCTACTTTCGTTATAGCAGAAATTTTGTTTCTATTACATTAAAATTTGTATCTAAAACTGAGTAACAGAGCCACATAATTTATAATCACAGGTAAACTATTTCTTAGATTAATATGCCTAAAACATATAAGTAGCATGGAAATAATCAAAACAAAAACCCTGGATAAGGCAAGAGGATCACTTGAACCCATGAGTTCAAATCCAGCCTAGGGAACATAGTGAGAACCCATCTAAAAAAAAAAAAAAAAAAAAACCCACAAGGACTTTTTAGTCTTTGAGACTAAAACGGTTAGAGATTTATTCTTCAACAACCAACCTTTTTATTTGACTATATATCCTTACTACTCAATGTAACATGCATCAGCATCACCTGGAAGCTTTTGAGAAATACAGAAGCTCAAACCCCAGCTCATACCTACTGACTCAGAATATGCATTTCCAACACCATCCCTAGGTGATTTGTATGTATCTTAAAGTTTGGGAAGCAGTGATACATATGACTTTGGAAAAGCTGGAGTCTGGTATTATACACAGAAATGAATGCACAGGAACCCTGGGAAGTATGACATGGAAGTCCACAGTGCCTGTTGAGAACTGCCTTAAAGAATTCCTGGCCATTATTTCAAAGCCCTACTGGGTAACTTTGCCCATGACAAACCATCAGTTGTCTACCCCAGCTTCTGTGAACTTATAATCACTAAAGGACTGGTCAGTTGTGGAGCCTGGGTGTTTAGACCACGGGCTGGCAAACTACAGCCTGCAGGCCAAATCCAGCTTGCTATCTTGTTTGTGTAAGTAAAGTTTTATTGGGACACAGCCACACCACCTGTTTACCTATTATCCATGATCGCTTACAACAGCAGAGTTGAGTAGTTGCAATGGAGGCAGCAAGGCTTGCAAAGCCCAAAATATTTCCTATGTAGCCCTTTACAGAGAAAGGTCTGTAGGCTTTTGGTTCAGACTGGAAGTCCATGGCTGGCAGGAGAAGCAGCAGTTCTGACAGTAATGGAGTGGCTTCTTATATTTTCCTTGTTTGAGGCTAGGGCTAGAGTTAGTTTGTGGATAATGAATGTCCCCAAATGAATGCAAGCAGCATGTTATTGGTGCCAAGCTGCAGGAGAGGACAGTAGTAGATTAATCTGATCAAGATTAACCATGCCATGATGGAACTTTAACATTCCTCTTGCTGTGGCCCAGTGTAGTTCTTAGTAGCAAAGATGAAGGGCTCTTTCCGCCTTTTCTGTCTGACTGATACCCAACATAGCATGGTTAATCTTGATCAGAATCAGAAGTCAGGAAGATCTTGAACAATTAGGATGATATAAGGATTTCTACAAAATGCTGTAGTAAGGACTTAAAGAGAGCACCAAATGGCAGGTAGCTTTTGGGCTAATAAATGTCAACTTAGATCTGTGAAGTAATTGGCTTACTGGGGGTAAATGTAAATAGCTTTACACATACATCAACAAGAGTGGCCTGTTAGGTCTTTTAAAAGCAGTTACTACCTTAGTTGCCAGCAATTGTTGCTGGGCTTCAATCTGTTGCTGCTGGCGAGATGCCATTTCCTGAAGTTCAGCAAGAGTCAGATCCATCCTAGGACTATTAACCTACAAGTAAAAACACAAATAAACACAATCCCAACTTACTATAAAACTATCACGAAGATTCCACCCTCAAAGGTCTATTTAAAAGCTCATCTGAACCAACTATGACAAAATTATTTAGCCATTTTTCTCTCGTAATATTAAGCAGATCATTAATTCTTACATTAATACTCACCGCACTGACTTTTTAAGATGTAAACATACTAATACAATCTTTTTTTTTTTTTTTTTTTAAATAGAGATGGCATTTCACCATCTTGGCCAGGCTGGTCTTGAACTCCTGACCTCGTGATCCACCCATCTTGGCCTCCCAAAGTGCTGGGATTACAGGCGTGAGCCATCACGCCCGGCCTAATAATCTTTTAAGTTTAAATAGTTTCAACAGTCTGGGATATAAGTGCAACAATTCAGAATTACCTTGTTCTGTAATTTATATTACAAACAGTAGTGTTTGATCATATTAAAAATGGTATTGAGGCACTGGCAGCAAACCTAGAATTCAGTCATTAGAATATCATTTAAAAATACAACAGCACTAAAAAAATCAAGACACATTGGATTTCATCAGAAACAAAGCAAGGACATTCACTCTCACAACATCTATTCAACGTTGTCCTAGAGGTTCTAGTCAACGCAATAAAACAAGAAAGAGAAATAAACAGCATCCAGACTGGTAAGAGAGAAGTTAAACTGCCTTCATAGACAATATAATCATCTATGAAGAAAATGCTATGGAATCTACAAAAAAAGCTACCAGACAAATAAGTTACATGGCAGGATTGCTGGATAAATACACACACACACACACACACACACACACACACACACACGCAACAGCACGTCAAAAACTTATCCATCACGATCAAGTAGGCTTCATTCCAGGGAAGCTGGGCTGGTTCAACATATACAAATCTATAAATGTAATTCATCACATAAACAGAACCAACGACAAAAACCACGATTATCTCAACAGATGCAGAGAAGGCCTTCAACAAAATTCGACAGCCCTTTATGCTAAAAATTCTTAATAAACTAGGTATCAATGGAACATATTTCAAAATAATAAAAGCTATTTATGACAAACCCACAGCCAATATCATACTCAATGGGCAAAAACTGGAAGCAGTCCCTTTGAAAACTGGCACTAGACAAGGGTGCCCTCTCTCACCATTCCTCTTCAACATAGTACTGGAAGTTCTAGCCAGAGCAATCAGGCAAGAAAAAGAAATAAAGGGTATTCAAATAGGAAAGGAGGAAGTCAAATTGTCTCTATTTGCAGATGACATGATTGTATATTTAGAAAACCCCATCGTCTCAGCCCAAAATCTCCTTAAGATGATAAGCAACTTCAGCAAAGTCTCAGGATACAAAATCAATGTGCAAAAATCACAAGCATTCCCATACACCAATAACAGACAGAGAGCCAAATCATGAGTGAACTACCATTCACAATTGCTACAAAGAAAATAAAATACCTAGGAATACAACTAACAAAGGACATGGAGGACCTCTTCAAGGAGAACTACAAACCACTGCTCAAGGAAATAAGACAGGACACAAACAGATGGAAAAACATTCCATGCTCATGGTTGGGAAGAATCGATATCATGAAAATGGCATACTGTCCAAAGTAATTTATAGATTCAATGCTAACCCCATCAAACTACCATTGTTGACCTTCTTCACAGAACTGGAAAAAACCACCTTAAACTTCATATGGAACCAAAAAAGAGCCTGCATAGCCAAGAAAATCCTAAGCAAAAAGAAAAAAGCTAGAGGCATCATGCTACCTGACTTCAAATTATACTACAAGGCTACAGTAACCAAAACAGCATGGAACTGATACCAAAACAGAGCTATAGAGCAACAGAAAAGAACAGAGGCCTTCGAAGTAATGCCTCACACTATAACCATCTGATCTTTGACAAACCTGACAAAAACAAGCAACGGGGAAAGGATTCCCTGTTTAATAAATGATATTGGGAAAATGGCTAGCCATGTGCAGAAAGCTGAAACTGGACCTCTTCCTTACACCTTATACAAAAATTAACTCCAGAAGGATTAAAGATTTAAACATAAGACCTAACACCATAAAAACCCTAGAAGAAAACCTAAGCAATACCATTCAGGACACAGGCATAGGCAAGGACTTCGTGACTAAACACCAAAAGCAATGGCAACAAAAGCCAAAATAGACAAATGGGATCCAATTAAACTTAAGAGCATCTGCACAGCAAAAGAAACAAGCATTAGAGTGAACCAGCAACCAACAGAATAGGAAAAAATTTTTGCAAGCTACTCATCTGACAAAGGGCTAATATCCAGAATCTACAAAGAACTAAAACAAATATACAAGAAAAAAACAACCCCATCAAAAAGTGGGCAAAATATATGAATAGACACTTTTCAAAAGAAGACATTTATGTGGCCAATAAATATATGAAAAAAATGCTCATCATCACTGGTCATTAGAGAAATGCAAATCAAAACCACATTGAGATACCATCTCATGCTAGTTAGAATGGCGATCAATAAAAAATCTGGAGACAACGGATGCTGGAGAGGATGTGGAGAAACAGGAACACTTTTACACTGTTGGTAGGAACGTAAATTAGTTCAACCATTGTGGAAGACAGTGTGGCAATTCCTCAAGGATTAGAAATAGAAATATCATTTGACGGAGCAATCCCATTACTAAGTATATACCCAAAGGATTATATATCATTCTATTATAAAGACACATGCACACATATGTTCATTGTGGCACTGTTTACAACAGCAAAGACTTACAACCAACCCAAATGTCCATCAAAGATAGACTGGATAAAGCAAATTTGGCACATATACACCATGGAATACCATGCAGCCATAAAAAAGAATGAGTTCATGTCCTTTACAGGGACACGGATCAATCTGGGAACGATCATTCTCAGCAAACTGACACAAGACTAGAAAACCAACCACCACATGTTCTCATTCATAAGTGGGTGCTGAACAGTTAGAACACATGGACACAGGGAGGGGAACATCACACACTAGGGTCTGTTGGGGGATGGGGCACTAGAGGAGGGATAGCAGTGGGGTGGGGTGATTGGAGAGGGATAACATTAGGAGAAATACCTAATGTAGGTGACAGGGGGATAGAGGTAGCAAATCACCATGGCATGTGTATACCTACGTAACAATCCTGCAAGATCTGCACATGTACCCCAGAACTTAAACTAAAAAAAAGTAAGATTGAAAAAGATAAATCAGAAAACAAACAATATGCAAAAATCTATTTCAGTATATTAGAAACAATTAGAAATTTAAAAATTGTAAATACCATTTATAGTATCAAAAATATGGGGCAAAGATATATATACTAAAAGCTCAAAAACTGCCGAAAGAAAATCCAAATAAATGGAGAATTTTATCATGTTCATCAATTGGAGGCTCAATATTGTCAAGACAGCAATTCTTCACAAACTGATCTATAGATTCAACAAAATCTCAACTAAAATCCCAACAGACATTTTTGTAAAAATTGATGTTGATTCTAAAATTCATATGGAAGTACGATGCATCTAGAACAGCCAAAACAACTCTAAGAAGAATAAAGTTGGAAAACTTACACTACCTGACTTCAAGAATTATAAAGTTCCAATGACCAATGCATGTGGTATTGACATCAAGACAGACCAGTAGATCAATGAAACAGAATAGAGAATACAAAAACAGGCCCACATACATGTGGCAACAATTTTAGACAAAGGTGCAAAAGCAAATGAGTGAAAAAAGAATAATCTTTCCAATAAATATTGCTTATACAATTAGATATTCATATTTAAAAAGATGAACTTCAGGGCCAAGTGCAGTGGCTCACACCTGTAATCCCAGAACTTTGGGAGGCCAAGGCAGGTGGATCACCTGAGGTCAGGAGTTTGAGACCAGCCTGACCAATATGGTGAAACCCCATCTCTACTAAAAACACAAAAATCAGCTGGGCAAGGTGGTGGGTGCCTGTAATCCCAGCTACTCGGGAGGCTAAGGCAGGAGAATCACTTGAACCTGGGAGGCAGACATTACAGTAAGCCAAGATCGCACCATTGTACTCCAGCCTGGGTGACAGAGTGAGACTCTGTCTCAAAAAAAAAAAAAAAAAGATGAACTTTGATTCTCACACCATATGCAAACATTCACTCAAAAGGGGGCATAGATTTAAAGGTAAAACTGAAACTACAAAACTTCTAAAAGAGAACAAAGGAAGAAAAATCTCTGTGACCCTGGGTTAGGCAAAGAGTTCTTAGATACAACACTAAAAGTATGCTCCATTTAAAAAAAAAAAAAATTGGATCCAGACTACATAAAGAACTCTCAAACTCAGTAAGAGAGCAGAAAACTGGGCAAAATATTTAAACAAATAATTTCACCAAAGAAGAAACACAGAGAGCAAATAAGCACATAAAAAGATGTCCAAATCATTAGTCATTAGAGAAAAACAAAATAATTTGTTTTAATTATTATTAAACACACAATGCAATACACTTGACATATACGTTAACGGCTAAAATTAAAAAGACTGACCATACCAAATGTTGGCAAGGACGTGGAAGCAGTGGAACTCTGACAGACATATAAAATAATATGATCACTATGGAAATATCCAGCAGCATTTTAAAAATATATAGAGAGAGATATATCTCTTTTTTAAATAGAGACACAGTCTCACTTTATTGCCCAGGCTAGTCTCAAACTTCTGGCTTCAAGTGATTCTCCTGCCTCAGCCTCCCAAAGAACTGGGATTACAGGCATGAACCACCAGCTTCTTTCTTAAACAGTTAACACATACCTACCATATGATCCAGGTATGCTACTTCTAAGTATTTACTTATAAAGAATAAAAACATAGGTCTATATGAAGACTTGTATCTAAATATTTATCGCAGCTTAACATAAAATAGTCAAAAACTGGAAACAACTCAAATGTCTATCAACAGATGAATGGACAAACAAATTGTGCTATGTTCAGATGACAGACTATATCTCAGCAATAAAAGGAATTAACTATTGATATACATAACAACATGGATGAATCTCAAATTATGCTGAGTAATCAAACAAAAAATGAATCATTCCATAAGATTCCAGAAAATACAACTCATTCATAGTCACAGAAAACAGACCCCCTTTGGCAGCTGAGGCTGTTGCCCCCTCAAAAAAAAGTAGCCCCACTAACAATTCCTTGAGGATGGGGAGGGAGGGAAGGAAGAGGTCACAAAAGGACATAGGAAACTTACTTAGGGGGATAATGGGTCATTTCATTATCTGTCAAACTGTACACTTTAAATTTATACAACTTATTGCAGGTCAGTTATACTTCCATAAGGCTGATTTTTTTTTTTTTTTAAGATGGAGTCTCACTCTGTCGCCCAAGCTGGAGTGCAGTGACACGATCTCAGCTCACTCACCACAGCCCCCGCCTCCCAGGTTCAAGTGATTCTCTGCCTCAGCCTCCTGAGTAGCTGGGATTACAAGCATGCATCACCACACTCGGCCAATTTTTGTATTTTTAGTAGAGATGGGGTTTCTTCATGTTGGCCAGGCTAGTCTCAAACTCCTGGCCTCAAATGACCCTCCCACCACAGCCTTCCAAAGTGCTAGAATTGCAGGTGTGAGCCACTGCACCCAGCCAAGGCTGATTGTTTTGTTGTTTTTTTTAAAAAATTAAACTCTAGTTAGTGAAGGAGGAGACATATTGCATCGATATGCATTAAAACAATCCTGTTAATGGCTAAGATCATTTATCATCTATGTATTATCCTCTCATCATTGTAAGATAACTACTAAATCAAAGAAAAGGCCAGGCGCCAAAAACAAGTAAATCAAAGAAAAGAAAAAGAAGAATCGGAAGAAAGAGACAATAGGAACAAATGGTACTTTAGATCATCTGAATTCTACTGTAAATGTACTAAAGATTGAAAAAAGGTAATTTAGCTAATCCCTAATGGCCCTAACAACAGTGATCTCTGAAAAGAAATGTCTTCAAAGTATACCAAAGATGCATGCTCAAGTTCATATGCAACAGCAAGAGCATAAATATATAATTTTCTATTTTTAAAAAAGTGATGATAGCAACAAATAAAATCACCAAATACTTCCTCAAACTTGCTCAGCATTTATTTTATTCTGAATTTGTGTTACATTAAGCATACAACTTATTCCAATACTCAGCCATATACAGAACACTAAAATTAATAGTTTCTATGAAATAAATTTAAAATAACATTTAAAAAGGGGGCCATCCTTAGCCCACTGAATAACTAATAATGAATAAGACTTAAAGTTAAAAAATATATATCATTGTGGTATATATAGTATGGATAAAAACAACAACTTACACCATTCTCCTTTCTTCGATATTCACCAGGAACTTTCACACCATTTCTTTTTAAACTTGGATCCTGAGATCTTGGTCCACTGACTAAGGACAAAATTCAAAAACTATGCATTAACACTCGAGTTGACAGACACTGTAAGTACCAGTGCATTTCTGAATTCTGTCATGACTGCTGTTTGAGATTTTAAGTTTAATGTATTCTTTAAACAAAATATTTTCTAATAGCAATTGTCTTAAGTTCTCATAACTCAATGTGTTTTGCAAACAATTTCATGAAAGAGTGAAAAGTCAGCACTACTAATATCACATGCCACCTATTAATTAGGAAAGCTGTCTGATTCACATACCAAAAAAGGAAAAATTAACAAACTTAATGTACTTCTGACTATTAGTAATTCATACCGTTTGCTTAAAGTTGCTCTTCCTAATCATCTATTTAGCTACTCAGTAGTTAAATCAAGAAAAGCTTCACTGAAATAGTTGAAAATTAAATCAATACATCCTTGTACTAACAATATTTTTAACTTATTTTGAAAAGAAAGCACTTAAAATTGGAACAAGTAGTATCTTGGTTTATTGCAGACATTTTGTGGTAATTTTTAAGTACTATGAAGTACTTCCACATTTATTTAAGCAAAAAATTTCTGTTTAAGTTTGGGAAGGTATTCACTGGAAACACTACATATTCTGCTTTTTTGGCTAAAAAGAATTTTTAAAGCCAAAATGCATGAGTCTTTCAGTACCACTTAATGTATCATATAAGGAAAGGTCTTAATTTAATAAATTATAAGAAGCAAATAATATCAACAGAGAATTTTAAAAACACATTAAGCTCATATCTATACTTTCCAGAAATTAAAAAAATTATCAAATTACCTTCTAAGAAATTTAAGATTAAAATTTCTTTTGACTCAAATGTCTATTATAACTGTCAGAAATCTTAGCACAAATTCCCACTGCTAATAAACAAATAAATAGGCATGCCTACCTTCAGAGCCAAGTATCACACTTACACCTAACTCTAATGCAATCAGATTTATTTTTTAAATGCAGCTCAATTCTCTGACAAAATATCTCAGGTAATCTGACACAATATTTCTGAAAGAAAAAAAAGCTTCTATAATTTCAGAATAATTGCTTTCTTTGCTGTCTTAAAGAGAGCACTTAACTAGTTTCTCTTTTGCATTATCAGTTACATAATTAAAGTAAAAAACAAGAGCTTTAAACATAATTTCACATAAATTCTGGGTCATAGGTCCTAGTTAAATTGGAAAAAGAATATGGTGACAGTCTCCTAATCCTTATGCGAGAGGTCTAGACCAAAAAGAGTAAGTTAACACCTTAATAAAGGAGACTGAAAAACAATCCTGTTTTATCCCAATTTCAACACTATGTGGCACTGGTGTTTTGTGACAGTGTGAAAACAGCTCCTTTATCTTCAGATTATATTTCTCACATTACAGACACACTGAAACTGCATATTGCACTATTGAGAGACTATTTAATAATTTATCCAGTACTATACAGCAAGATATTTGAACAGGTAGATGGATGGGTAAAATTCAACTAATTACAAAAGGATGTATGTGACGTAAATAGAGAACGAAATAAAAATAAGACGCAAATGCCAATATAAAACTACAAAAAAGAAAAAAAAAAAGCCTAAGAAAAAAATGTTTACCTAAAATAAAATTACAGACACCACTGATACTGAAAGGCAACCAGGTAGCTTGGCTGAGGTGATTCAGGTTCTGCTCCTGGCTCTGCCTCTAGGTGTGTGGCCTCTGACAAGTCACTTTATCCCTAAGTATCAGCATTTCTCGTCTATAGGGTAGAAGGAGCCAAACTAAGTCAACTCTGCCCCTCAGCTAACCCATACTCTAAATTTAATCATTCCTAGTGGTCAGGTACCATACAGACACTTGTGTTAAAGCAACAGTCAATAAAACTGTGCTTTTCTTTTGGAGATGGAGTCTCACTCTGTTGCCCAGGCTGGAGTGCAAATGGTGCAATCTTGGCTCATTGCAACCTTCAACTCCAGGGATCAAGCGATTCTTCCGCCTCAGCCTCTCCAGCAGCTGGGATTACGGGTGCACGCCACCACGCCCAGCTAATTTTTGTATTTTTAGTAGAGTAGTAAAGACAGGATTTCACCATGTTGGCCAGGCTGGTCTCGAACTCCTGACCTCAAGTGATCCACTCACCTCAGCCTCCCAAAGTGATGGGATCATAGGCATGAGCCACTGCACCCAGCCAAAACTGAGCTTTTATAATGTGCAATAATCGACATCTGACATCTGCTACATTCTTTTTTCTCCCTCGAGATGCAGTCTCGCTCTGTAGCCCAGGCTGGAGTGCAATGACACAATCTCTACTCACTGCAACCTCCACCTCCATGGTTCAAGCGATTCTGCTGCCTCAGTCTCCCAAGTAGCTGAGATGATAGGCACACACCACCATACCCGGCTAATTTATTCTTACTCCCAAAAATTATAAACGAGGTCAAACAAAGTAGCCTCAACTTTCCATTTTTCAATGAAATCTCAGCATTTTTAGAAATATATAGCAATCCTGCTTCAATCTGTGGCTACTCACTGAGAACAGAACTTCCCCACAGATCTCAGCTCTGAAGCTGCTCATTCTCCCACATCCTCCAAGACTGCTAGGTCACAGGGATGGCTGTGTCCCCAGTGTCTACTGCTGCTTCCCCCCCGACACTCTCCATTCTTCCCTTACAGTCCATCTATAAACTCTGGTCACAATCCCTGGTCACCAGCAATGTGACCAGTTGACTCCCTTGTTCTCTCCACCTCCAAGTCCTGTTTCATTCTGGTTGACGTTACCACCCAAATGCGAGCCTCAGTTCTATCTCCACTCTAATTCGGGCTCATTTCAGGGCCCCACCTGAAACCACAACACTAGAAGCCCTCTACCTCTGAAACTTTCAATTCAAACATTCTGCTTTTGACCACCATTGCCTTTCAATCTGCCTGTCTACTCATTTCCTCTCACGACACCTATTCTTTCATTTAACTGGGACTAGCAGCCTCTTAACTCTTGTCTACTTTTCCTCACAGCCCTGTCCTGTATTCACTTCTTCCCCACCCAGCTGAAATATCACCCACCAATACCCTCTTCTCCCCTGTCCCACTGGCCTTCCATCGAATTTGTCTAGAAACCCTGGGTTTTCTTCTCTTCTTACAACCCACCTGGACTATAGACCACCACCGGAGAAAAATCAGGTATGGTCTCAAGGTCTCTAATCTCAACTGGTCTCAAGGGTCCCAGCAGTCTGGCTTCCCTAGCAAGCCCTCTCTCCTAATTTCCAAAACAGCTCAAACTTCCACCCACCTCCATCATCACTACTAGCTCAGAGAAAACAAATGTTTTTAGATGAGAAATCCCTCTACTCCCACAAAATGCACAAATTTAGCCACACTGCCACAGTTTTATTTCTGTCCTGTTATTATGGAAGAGGGATCCTTCCTCTTGTCTAAGAGGACTTTCTGCCTCAGGGCTGTGGAAGTACCTAATCAGGGACCCTGCCCTAGCAAGTATTCCCTTTCTTATAGTTTCAACCTCCTGCTCTAATGACTCCTTCCCACCTGCATTAAAAAGCTATGGTCAAACTTCTCCCCCATCCACAGCCTATCTCCACTGTTTCAACTTCCTAACCTCTCCTTCACCTCTCAAATTACCTGGCTTCTCATCATGTGCCACCTACTACTCCCAGCTACTCCAGTGCACAAAATAAAACTTAAATATCTCTCATGATTCACAGAGCACTACCTACCAATGTCCCTGCCAGGGGGGCGTTCATGACGAAGGAAGAAGCGAACTTCATTCCTCTGACTTCCAAATCGTTGAAGAACATCAAACATTCGCTCATTATCCGCAACTGGACGTTCTAAATAAAGCAAATGAGTAGAAACCACATTATTTTCAAGTAAAAGAAAGATAAACATATGATTCACCATCTATCCTTCATGCAAACTATACATCATTATAGCTGTAAAAATGTATCTATATTTGCCCCTCTTCCAGTGAGAATACCCATGTCAGAATTTTTCCAGAAACAAAAAGAAGGGCACACCTAAATGCCTAGTAAAAATAGAAGCTTCAGGAGAAACAATATGTCTCCAGCTGTCCTAAAAAAAACCTTCCAATTTCAAGGGATCTGGATATAAAAATGAGACGTACTGTTTGAGGAAGCAACTGCTTAAAATCAACGAAACTCCAGTAATGTCAACATAATTTTTAAATATAAGAATGTTGAAATAGCCTACAAAAACTCAACACATTTATCAGTAATCAAGGCCACTATCTCAGCACCTTAAATAAACATGGGCAGAGAACAGAGCAGACAAGCATTCAGCAGCCAATTTGGTGAACCAACCCTGAATTTAATCTGCTTGGCTGCAACAGAGTACAGTTCTGGTTCTACTTCCAGTAACATAACACACTGAGTTGACAAAGATAATCTCCTTTTATAAACTACACATATTCTAAGACCCCCCAAAAAGGGGTTAGAGAGAAAGCCTCAAAAAGAAATTCTGAGTAGCTGTTCTATCCACCCCTACAAAATACACACACACACAAGCTGTACTCAAAAGAAGTAAAATCTCCAGGTTCCAGGGGCAGAGAAAGAACTCAAGTCCACAATGGACTGCCCCCGAAAGATATGGACCTTCTCACAAGCTTTAGGCTAACATTCTGATGGCCCTATGATGGCAAAAAATCAGGCATAGGCCTACATAAACTGAAACGGACCCGTCAAAGGTTCTCAAAGCTCCCTACTAACACCCGGGCACCAACCACACCTACGGGCATGCACTGCACTGTGTTACAATTCCCTGTAGTAATCAATACAGTAACATGCTGTATAGCTTTGTAGCCTAGGAGCAATAGGCTACATAACATATAGCCTAGGTGTGTAGTAGGCGCTACCATCTAGATTTGTGTAAGTACACTATGAGGTTCACACAACAACAAAATCACTTAATGACAAATTTCTCAGCATATATCCCCATCATTAAGTGACACATGATTGTATCTCCTCGCCAGAGCATTCCTGCCTATGTGACTCTGAACACACCATTCCCAGCATTCATCATCTTCCCCCCCCTCCACCACCCTTTTCTCCTGCAGATGAAACACATCTATTACTGCAACCACCACAATGTATTATAAATGTCTGTGGATACTCGTTTCTCCTTGCGCCCTGTAAGACACCTGAAGGCAGCTTTCATCTCTGTATCCTTCTTAATCAAGTGTGGTCCCTAGCACATTAAAAGGCATCCAAGAAATGTTCACTGAGCAAATACACCAGTGGGTAGTGAGAAAATGGAAAAGGAAATCAGAGGAGGACAAGAGAGGAGAAGAAAGGCTTAACACGTAGAGAATTAAGTAATAGGGAAAGACATTTACAGTTTCGCAAATAGGCCTGAGATCCCGAACAGTTTTTAAATGCCTACAAATCAAGAGGGAAGGGAAAAAGCCAGAGTAAACAAGAGCAAAGGGTATTAAGAAACAATTTCAAGGCCGGACGCGGTGGCTCAAGCCTGTAATCCCAGCACTTTGGGAGGCCGAGGCGGCTGGATCATGAGGTCAAGAGATCGAGACCATCCTGGTCAACATGGTGAAACCCCGTCTCTACTAAAAATACAAAAAATTAGCTGGGCATGGTGGTGTGTGCCTGTAATCCCAGCTACTCAGGAGGTTGAGGCAGGAGAATTGCCTGAACCCAGGAGGCGGAGGTTGTGGTGAGCCGAGATCGCGCCATTGCACTCCAGCCTGAGTAACATGAGTGAAACTCCGTCTCAAAAAAAAAAAAAAAGAAAGAAAGAAACAATTTCAAAAAATAAAAAGCCAAATGGCCGATAAACAAATGAAAAAACAGGCAACCTCACTTGAAAGCAGAAATATGAAAATTTAAACAAAAGTCAAGTTTTCAGCTATCAGTTTAGTAAATGTTAAAATAACTGTTGATGAGGAATACATCTAGAAATAACTGGAAAGGGTATGAACTGACATAACCTTTGCAGAAAGAAAATCTGACAATATATGTTACATTTTTATGTTAATTTGGTCATGATAGTAACCTGTTTACTACCTATATGTATCCCATAACATCATATTGTATACCTTAAATATATACAATTAAAAAAAAAAAAAAGTGTGACCTGGACAGGCACGGTGGCACACGCCTATATTCCAAGCACTTAGGGAGGCCGAGGCTGGAGGATCACTTAAGTCCAGGAGTTCAAGACCAGCCTGGGCAACATGGCAATATCCCATTTTTGCAAAAAATACAAAAATTAGCTGGGTGTGGTGGCACATATCTGTAATCCCAACTACTAAGGAAGCTGAGATGGGAGGATCATGGGGGGAGGGGGGAAGGAAAGAAGAAAGAAGAGGAGAGAAGGAGGAAGAGGAAAAAGAACACTTTTTTTTTTTTTTGAAAATTTTAAAAACGTGTGAACTTTTAACCAAAGAATTTCATTTCTACCCTCTAGAGAAATGCTTGCACAGGATCAGAAGAGGCTCCTAAAAGGATTTTTACTGTAGCACTTATTAAAACAAGATGATTAATTTAATTTAATGTTTATAAATAAAGCAATTGTTAGCTCAACTGTAGTTTATGCATACTGAGGGAAATTATGTGATAATTTAAAAATAATACGGTGGCTCATGTCTGTAATCCCAGCACTTTTGGAGGCCGAGGCAGGAGGATCACTTCTGGTCAGGAGTTTGAGACCAGCCTGGCCATCATGGTGAAACTCCGTCTCTACTAAAAATACAAAATTCAGCCGGGTGTGGTAGTGGGCACCTGTAATTCCAACTGCTCAGGGGGCTGATGCAGCAGAATCACTTAAACCCAGGAGGCGGAGGTGGCAGTGAGTCAAGATGGAGCAACAAAGTGAGACTCCATCTCCAAAATTATATATATATATATATATATATATTTACACATACTAAACTGAAAAGAAAAGATCTACAAGCTATGTTGTAAGATAAAACAGTAAACTGGAGGACACTGATATGTATGCTACCGTTTACATAAAGAATCAGAGAAACACAAAAACATTTCTTCAGTTACTTATAAATGCACAGAAAAGGTCTGACAAATTATCGACTAAAATCGTAAGTGATTACATCAAGAGACCAGGGGACTCACTTAGGAGAGAGACATCCACTCTGTTTATATTATTTCCTCTTTTAAAAACTAGAGCCTGGGCATGGTGGCTCACACCTATAATCCCAGCATTTTGGGAGGCCCAGGCGGGTGGATCACAAGGTCTGGAGTAGGAGACCAGTCTGGCCAACATGCGAAACCCCATCTCTACTAAAAATACAAAAAAAATTAGCTGGGTGTGGTAGCGTGTGCATGCAATCCCAGCTATTCAGGAGGCTGCGGCATGAGAACTGCTTGAACCCAGGAGGTGGAGGTTACAAAACAAGACTCCATCTCAAAAAAAAAAAAAAAAAAAAAAGAGAAACAAACAAACCTAGAACACATACCAGTGTCATCATTAAATTTTGGGGGGTTATTTTTGAGACAGTGTCTTGCTCTGTTGCCCAGGCTGGAGTGCAGTGGCACGATCTCGGCTCATTGCCGGAGCCGCCTCCCGAATTCAAGGGATTATCCTGCCTCAGCCTCCTGAGTAGCTGGGATTACAGATGCCCACCACCATGCCCAGCTAATTTTATTTTATTTTAGTAGAGACAGGGTTTCACCATGTTGGCCAGGGTGGTCTCAAACTCCTAACCTCAGGTGATCAACCCTCCTCAGCCTCCCAAAGTGCTGGGATTACAGGTGTGAGCCACCGCGTCTGGCCAAAAATTTTTTTAATTAAAAAGTTGTAAAACAGAAAATTCTTTACGTATCATCGTCATGTAGTAAAGGTTATTAAATTCAAACGAGCAAGGTACTAAATAGGAATAGGTGGGAACAAAAGTGTCAAGGAACAGAGTACAGCCATGGCAAAGTAAGAACAGTTCTTCCTCTATGAAAACGAGAAGAAAAGGGAGGCGCACACAGGGAATGTGAGGTACAGAGTAAGAAAACTGAGGAAGAACACAATAGAGAGTTTCAATTATCTCAGTGAAGGATAAAGCAAGGTAATTTGCTGAATGCAAAGGGGTTGGTTACCAGGAGCAGCTAGAAGTTCATTTCCTCATTCAATAAATATTTATTGAGCACCCACTAGGTACAAGGCACTCCCCTTGAGCCAGAGAATACAGCAGTGAACAAGATAAACAAGGTCTCTACTCTTAAATAACGTACATTCTAGTGCATGTGTCTGGGGCTTTCAGGATAAAAGGAGCAATAAACTAATAAACACACACACAGTCAGAGTGACGTGCCTTCGACAGAGAATTACATCAGGATGATATAACTGAGAACTAACTTCATGGCTACTTTTAGCAGAGCACTCAAGAAAAGCCTCTCTAAGGAGGTAACATTTTAGCTGAAACCCAGGAGAATCAACAATGACAATATCTGGAGAGAGATCCATACAAACAGTGGGAATCGCTGTCACCAATTACTCCAAGGTAGGAATGAGCTTAGCATACTCAAGAAATACTTTTAGCCGGGCGCGGTGGCTCAAGCCTGTAATCCCAGCACTTTGGGAGGCCGAGGCGGCTGGATCACGAGGTCAAGAGATCGAGACCATCCTGGTCAACATGGTGAAACCCCGTCTCTACTAAAAATACAAAACATTAGCTGGGCATGGTGGTGTGTGCCTGTAATCCCAGCTATTCAGGAGGCTGAGGCAGGAGAATTGCCTGAACGCAGGAGGCGGAGGTTGCGGTGAGCCGAGATCGCGCCATTGCACTCCAGCCTGGGTAACAAGAGCGAAACTCCATGTCAAAAAAAAAAAAGAAATACTTTTAAAGCAGCAGAAGGAGCAGAGAGGAAAATAGTACCAGCTGACAGCAAAGACAAAGAATCTACAGGACTTCACAACCTAATATTAAAAGTTTGGATTTTGGCTGGGCACGGTGGTTCATTCCTGTAATCCCAGCACTTTGGGAAGACAAGGCAGGCAGATCACCTGAGGTCAGGAGTTCGAGACCAGCCTGGCCAACATGGTGAAACCCCTTCTCTACTAAAAATACAAAAATTAGCTGGGAATGGTGGCACATACCTGCAGTCCCAGCTACTCGAGGGGCTGAGGCAGGAAAGTTGCTTGAACCTGGGAGGTGGAGGTTGCAGTGAACTGAGATCATGCCACCGCACTCCAGCCTGGCGACAGAGCGAGACTGTCTCAAAAAAAAAAAAAAAAAAAAAGTTTGGATTTTTTTTCTAAGTGGAAGAGAAGTTGCTAGTTTTAAGCAGGAAAGTGAAATTATCTAATTTTCATTTTCAAAAGATCCCTTGGGCTTCTTCATGTGATTGTTCTCATCTGGTTCCTATAGAAAAAGAAAGTAATTTGGAGAGACTTCAGAAGACCTACTTTCTAGAACATCTACCTGTAGAAAAGTCAACCAAAGATGAATAAAAGGACTTGCCTGAAAAGAAGTAGGGGCTCAGCTGATGTTAGCTATCATGAATGGCATGAACTCAATTAACACAGTGTGTAACTTGCTCTGGGGACATTTGGCATCCCCGGAGGTGAAAAAGGAAACCAGTAGGAGTTCACCCAGTCTGTGTAGGAACGAGGTAGAAATGATGAAAAATTACTCCCACATCTACCAACTCCTATGGATCCCAAAAGAAACCGGCTATCCCATTTTAGAGCTCCAAAGAACCATACAGAGGGACTGACTTCAAGGCTTACAATACTGCCCATGGGTTCACCACTGCTGTCTGCCACTATGGCTCCTCAACTCTGAGTAGTTTTCTCTAAAAACCTACAAAAACAGAGTGGGCAAACCAATTAGGATGCCTCGAGTTTCTAATTAAGTAAAGCTTACACATACAAAGACACAGCTGAGCATCAGCCACTGGACCACAACATCCCAGATGACCTTTTATATTTTATATTGTGGTGTCTCCATTTTATTGCAGAAAAAGAAAACAACAAAAAGACTTCATGTATCACACCAAAGCTGGATCAGGAACACTATATTCTGCTGGACATGCTACTCTATAGTTTCTCCTTGGAGAAACATGAGCATTCGCACAGCATCATGTCTACAAACCAACATTAATAAAAGACAGAAGAACCAAAGCACAAGGCTGTCAGGGTCTCTCACCAGAGCCACACCACACTTCAGCCAAATGGCAATCACTCTCGCCAGGTTCTTTGCACAGATCCACCACGTCTCTGCAGACTGTTTCTGGAGTAACTGGAACTTCTGTGAAGTGCTGCTCATTGTTACTGAGATACACAGTAAGAAACATCTAAAAATTAAAAGAGAAACACACAGTTACTGGTACTACCTGCATAACATGGTATTCACCTTAAATTCCTTTCTCCAAACAAAATCTCAGTTAGAAGTGCAAACGTACAACAGAGCAGTCTTGCTGTCACCTGGCCAAAGGTGAGGTGTGGATCAGGGGTTGAGCGAGATCTGGAACCCCTACCATGGGCAGTAGCTCCAGAACCTTTGGCGACCCTGGAATATCGTTACACCAGTTCAAACTAAATCTGTTTGTGCCAGTTTTATTCATGTTGTTTACCAAATACTTATATATGCCAGACCCATACTACAAATATATCTTCCTGTCAGTCCTGTAAAGGTTGACTAGAGGACCTCATCCATATATACTTATTTTGCAGCCTCTTTTTTTTTTTTTTTTTTGAGACGGAGTTTCACTCTTGTTACCCAGGCTGGAGTGCAATGGCACGATCTCGGCTCACCGCAACCTACGCCTCCTGGGTTCAGGCAATTCTCCTGCCTCAGCCTCCTGAGTAGGTGGGATTACAGGCACACGCCACCATGCCCAGCTGAATTTTTGTATTTTTAGTAGAGACGGGGTTTCACCATGTTGACCAGGATGGTCTCGATCTCTTGACCTCGTGATCCAGCCGCCTCGGCCTCCCAAAGTGCTGGGATTACAGGCTTGAGCCACCGCGACCGGCCTGCAGCCTCTTTTTGGAAGGACGCATAAGAACTTAACATGCTGCTTCTGAAGTGGGAGGGGGATGGGAACTAGGAGACAGAGTTTGGGAGGGCTCTGTGTAGGCCTAATCTTTATATAATGTACATATATTACCTATTCAAAAAATTGTACTTCTAAAATGTTTTAAGCAAGTTAAATACCTACTTTGAAGTATAAGATTTCATTAGCAAAATATAAGTAGAGATAAGCAGCTGTTATGCTAACACCTACCTGACCTTGTATATAAACGCTGAGACCAACAGAAGGTTTAAATTTAAAACTCAGTAATAGGCTGGTTGTAGTAGCCTACACTTGTAATCCCAGCACTCTGAGAGGCCAACGTGGGAAGATCATGTGAGTCCAGGAGTTTAAGATCAGTCTGCAATGAAGCAAGACTCCATTTCTACCAAAAATTAAAAGAAAATCAGCCAGGCATGGTGGCACATCCCTGTGGTCCCTGGCTACTTGGGAAGCTGAGAGGGGGAAGACTGCTTGAGCCCAGGAGGTCACAGCTATAGTGAGAAGTGATTGCACCACTGCACTCCAGCCTGGGTAAGACCCTGACTTTAAAAAAAATAAATAAATAAATAACAATCTTTATCTTTCTCCTAGCAAAAAAAGACACTGTATCTTAAAAACACTGCTACTAAGGAATTAAAATTTTCACACCTATTAAATTACAAAAAATATTTTGTTAATTTCCAATGCTGAATAAACTAAGTGAAACAAGTTTTTGATGGTGATGCAAATTAGTAAGCCCCTATGTTTACTTAATTCAATGAGTACCTAACTCCATGCAAATCAACATGCATCAGGATTAAAAAATAATAATAATTTGAAAGAGTTACCTCACAGTGAGAATATATCCTGTGAAAATAATTCGAATCAAAGAAAGAGAATGCATAAGCTATGGAATATAAACTTGACGGACAAATTTCGTTTTTTAAAACCACTAATGAAACTATGCTAAGCACTGGGAAAAGTTTGGGTTTTAAGACTGCAAAAAAGCAAAATAATTAGGATATACACTATGACCACAACATGAGGACCTCACACAGCAGTCAGAGAGCCTGCCAACAGTCATACAACTCCCCTTCCAGCTTAAATGTCTCTGTCCATTGCCCAAAATGGAGAAACCTGCACTAAGATGTTATTTGCAAAAAGGCAGCATAGTCCCTGATTAGGGACTATGATCAGAAACTGGCTAAGGCATCTGACTCGGTGCCTCAAGATGTGGTCAGAATAAAAGGAGATATGCCTGACAGAAAGAATAACCCCTTGCACTCAAGCCAGTCCAAGTCTCCACGTTCTGCAACAAAAGCTGTTAACTCACATGAACACGTGTAACAGAAAAATTAAAATAGTGAACACTGTTGAAACAATTTTTTTCATGGAAGAAAAACACTGTAGATTTTCCTGGTATGAGCTCAGAAGCTTTCAAACTAATTATCTCAGGTTTTTCACATTCTGACTACATTAAAGTACACAGTTCTAGGCTTCAACTTAGCCAACAAGGCAGCACTCAAAATTATTACACAAAAATCATAAAGCCTTGACTAAATCATTGAAAAACTAACAAAGATTAACACAGAACAGAATTACACTCGTATGCTGCTCCCAAAGTATACAGCATATTCGGTGGAAACAAATAATGTACACTTTAACATTAAATACTACCTCACCATACTCCCTATCGAAGCCAAAACTTTCTTCGAAGTTTATCACTTCAAAAATAGTACCTTTTCATTGCAAATATGAGGCTTAGAGGTGTTAAGTTACAGAAATACTGGAAATACAGAGTATATACTAAACACACACCCATCAGCAAATAAAAGTGTATTATTTGAGACAGCAACTTATCTCTGTAAACTTCATCTTTCAGACACATTATCTCAGAAACTTACATCAACTCTCAGATAAACAGGAGGTGTTATTTTCTCTTTATAAATGAAGAAAAAGACCCAGATAAGTGATCTACTTGTCTACTGAAATGAGAAGGTCAGGGTACAGTTCTGTTCTTCTGTTCTATCTTTTATTCTTTAACCTATCCTTTATAGAAAGAAAATATTAGGAAATGCTCCATTTAACCACAGTTACCCAAACTTGAACAGCAATCTAATCTTTTACTTTCTGGAAAAACAACAGCTTCATTTATTTAGAAGTATAATTAAAAATAAGAATGATGACAGATGTGTTCTATTTATGGTTACTTTTCCCACAGGGTTAACACTGGTATGAATAGTAAGTGTATGAGTTGACCCCATTTCTACCTGTCATGTATGGAGATTAGCTCTGTGGTGATTTTTGTAACTGTACTGCAGTTCACGATGCTGGGCCAGCAACATGATATTTCTGTCGATTCTCACGCAGGAGATCTGGTTCAGACTCCAGATTTCTTCACAGTTAGACTACTTTCGGTAAGTAATGTCACCTCTCGGAAACTCAGCCTCCTCATCTTCAAAATGAGTCTTTTAAGTTTCCTAACAACCACATTTACCTATGTAACAAACCTGCACATCCTACACATGTATCCTGGAACTTAAAATTAATTAAATTACTTTTCTTTTTAAAGTTCCCCAAAATTTATTATTTAGTAAAGGTTTACTAGGTACCACAGTAAAAGTCAACATTTTTACAGTAGCCTACAAGGTCGCACATGATCTGGCCCCCATTTCCTTCTAATCCCCTCACTCTATGCTCTACCCATGTCCTCTCTGTTCATCAAACACACCAGGCATGTTCCCGCCTGGGAGCCTCCATACTTGCTGTTCCTCTATTTGGAATGACCTTCTTTATATGCCAGTGTAATTCTCACTTCCTCATCTCTGTCACGCCTTTACTCAGATGTCACCCTCTCAGTGAAGCCTCACCTAGCAACTCCACCTAGAATTCCAAAAACCACACACACACACACACTCCCCCCCAGCCCACTCTTCTGCTTACTTCCCTCCTTAGCACAGTCACTAGCATGCCATGTTATATTTATTTAACTCATTTTTATTATCTGCCTTTCCTACTAGAATGTAAGCTCCACACAAAGGTTCTGTCTTTGTTCAGTGTTGTATCCTCAGCACCTAGAACTGTGCCTGGTATGTAACAAACACACACTAAGTATTAAATCCTGTAAATGTAATTGCGTTTTACAGATGAAGACACTGAAGCACAGAGGGATTTAAGTAATTCACCCAGGTCACACAGCTATTAAATGGCAAAACCAAGATCCAGCCCCTTCCTCAAGAGTATACAGGTCAAGACTCTACTGAATCTGGACCACACAGTGCCAAGTGTGTCACTGCCTCTAGCTTTGTCTTTTACAGTAACGTTTTGCCCACAATCCATCATCTCACCTCTGATTTATTTCATGGTCAGTTTTGCTGCAGGTAAACAGTATGGCATGCAGTGCACAGCACAGCTATATACTCTCAAGTGAGAGTGTGTGTCCTCTCATTTCTTCAGCTTACATCCTGCTATAGTCATTCTACTTCTATTTCGACACTATTTTCATTCATTCAGTATTTATAGATCATCTACTGTATGGTCTCTGTTCTAATGTAGAAATAATATTTACTAAACAGCAAGTACAGAGGCTCCCAGGTGGGAACATGCCTGGTGTGTCTGATGAACAGCAAAGAGGATGCGGGTAGAGCACAGAGTGAGGGGGATTAGAAGGAAATGGGGGCCAGATCATGCACAACCTTGTAGGCTGCTGTAAAAATGTTGACTTTTAACTCTGGTACCCAGTAAAAACATTTACAACACATAGTACAAAATTCAAAAAGAGAGAAAGAAAGCTGTATGGAGAAGGACACAGCCCGCAGGGAGGAAGCCAAAAAAATAAACCCCTCAACCTGAATCCTTCCCTCTCATGTCCACCCACTACTCCCCACTGGACAAACCCAACTACATGCCAGATGGCGAGGGAAGCGGCTGATGCAGCAGCGGGGGGGAAGGTGAAAAGTGAATGCTGAGGAGCAAACAAAAGACACCCAGCCACAGGAGCCCTCTTCTCCGTACTATGCAGTCAGAGGGCTCCTGAGCAACCCAGCAACCAACTAAAGGAAGTGAGGACACAGCCAGCTGGGAGAAGAATGTGCCAAGCAGAGGACAAGGATCCAGCAGAGGAGCCTGAGAAAGAGCCATCAAGCCTGAGAAAGAGCCATCAAAAAAAGACAGGAAGTCGCCCAGAAGACTGTGGGACACCAGAAACCAAGCGAAGAAAGTGTGTGAGGGAGGAAGATACAAAAGTGTACAATCAGATTTAGCAAGATGGAGGCTGCTGACTGCCTTGACCAGTAGCACTGAGTCATGGGGATAAGGGCCTGGCTGGAACAGGCTAGAGAACCTGAGGGAAGGAAGCAGAGGCACAGTACAGACAACTAGTTCTTCCAGTGTGTTCTGCCCTAACCGAAGACAGAGAAAATGGGGCCATATAGGGAAGGAGACACAGGGTAAAAGAAGTGTTTTATTTTTATCTCAAGATGAGAGTTTTTAAGAGATCATTTTAATTGATAGGAATGACCTAGTAGAGAGAGAAAATGGTGCTGATGAAACTGACTAATGACATAAGTGTGTCCTCAAATTATAAAAGTTATTTTTTCCAACATATATCAATTTCCTTTTCCTTCCTTTACTTGGAAAAACAAAAAAATATGAAAAATAATCAAAAAGAGAGGCTGGTCTCCCTAACTTAACATGTTAACATGAAAAAATGCAGGCACACATGTTCTTTACATTGCTACCACCCTTTTATCTGTGTTTTACAAATTTACTGTATTACAAAATAAAAGAATTATTCAAAAAGTAATTGAATTTTCTGACTAATAAAAAAAACAAAATGAATTCATTTTTTTCATTTTGGTGAAGCAGTTTTTATCAGCATGTTGAAATTTTTACTTAGAAAAGCAATTTTAGGCTACTCTATCAATTAAGTCCTTCAGAAAACAATTCTGGCCTAGAATCCAGGATTTTTAAAGATAAAAAATAAAACTGGTAAATCTAAGAAGTTTCCTGCGTCTATTACCAAAATATTTTTGAAAGCAATGAACAAAAAATGAAACTTAAAAATATTTCAGTTACACATGTTTTGTTTTATTATAAAACAGTGCTCACTGTACACTATTATGCATACCATCTACAAGCACAGAAAAAAGCCTGAAACTATATTCACCAAATTAACAGTAGTTATGCACTGGTGGTGGGATGACTAAGTGAATTTTTAGAAACTTATCTATGCTTAAATTTTCTAGAATGTACCACTTGCACAATAAAATTGATTTTTTAAGCAATCAATGATGAAAATAAGATAAACATTTTTATTCACACACATTGTGCCTTCCCTGGATCCTTACGGTGAGGTATGGAAGGCAAATATCTGTTGCAAGTGCTTTTCTTAGGTCGCTATCTTGCCTCAACTTTAGTCAGGAATGATTAAAAACAAACAATTAAGAAGCATATCTTAAGCCGGGCACAGTGGCTCAAGCCTGTAATCCCAGCACTTTGGGAGGCCGAGGTGGGTAGATCACGAGGTCAAGAGATCAAGACCATCCTGGTCAACATGGTGAAACCCCGTCTCTACTAAAACTACAAAAAATTAGCTGGGCATGGTGGCGCGTGCCTGTAGTCCCAGCTACTCAGGAGGCTGAGGCAGGAGAATTGCCTGAACCCAGGAGGCGTAGGTTGCGGTGAGCCGAGATCGTGCCATTGCACTCCAGCCTGGGTAACAAGAGGGAAACTCCGTCTCAAAAAAAAAAAAAAAAAGAAGCATATCTTAAAAGTCCACTATATAGGCCTGATACAGTGGCTCATGCCTGTAATTCCAGCACTCTGGGAGGCCAAAGTGGGCAGATCACGAGGGTCAGGAGTTTCAGCCTGGCCAACATGATGAAACCCTGCCTCTACTAAAAAATACAAAAATTAGCTGGACGTGGTGGCTTGCATCTGTAATCCCAGCTACACGGGAGGCTGAGGCAAGAGAATCACTTCAACCCGGGAGGCAAAGGTTACAGTGAGCTGAGATTACGCCACTGCACTCCAGCCTGGGCGACAGTGCATGACTCCCATCTCAAAAAAAAAAAAAAGAAAGAAAGAAAGTCCACTATATTAGAATGGAATATTATTCAGCCATCAAAAGGAATGAGGTACTGATACACACTACAGCATGGATAAACCTTGAAAACATTATGCTAAGTGACAGAAGCCAGACGTGAAAAACCACATAGTATATAATTCCATGTATATGAAATGTCTAGAATATGTAAATCCATACAGACAAAAAGTAGATGAATAATTGTCATGGGCCGAGGAGAGGGGGAATAGGGAGTAATTGCTAAAAGTGTGGGGCTTCTTTCTGGGGCAATGAAAATGTTCTAGAATTAGTGGTGATAGTAGCACAACCTTGTGAATATACTAAAAACCACTGAATCATACATTTTATATGAGTGAAATTTATGGTATACAACACCTTTTTTAAAAATATGTTATGAATATAACACTTAAAAAAAAAAGCCCACTATATGCTTAGTACGTGAGAGATACAAAAATCTCTCAGGCCAGGCATGGTGGCTCACACCTAAAATCCCAGCACTTTGGGAGGCCAAGGCAGGGGGATCACTTGAGCCCAGGAATTTGAGACCAGACTAGCCAGGGCAACATGATAAAACCCTGTCTCTACAAAAAAATACAATAAATTAGCCAAGAGTGGTGGCACACACCTATAGTCCAAGCTACCTGGGAGGCTGGGGTGGGAAGATCACTTGAGTCCAGGAGGTCGAGGCTGCAGTGAGCTGTGATCCTACCACTTCACGCCAATCTGGGCATCAGAGTGAAATCCTGTCTCAAAAATTTTTTAAATATAAAAATATTTATATACATATAAAAATATAAAAGAGAACAATTTAATACTCTATTACATCAATGAGAATTTGGGTAAAATGGAAATTCAGAAATAAAAAGGATGATCATGGCCTGAGGTAGATGAGGTTTCAGCAAACAGGCATAAATTAATAGTAAGCATAAAGAAATAATTTTGTTTGTTTGTTTTTTAGACGGAGTTTTGCTCTTGTTACCCAGGCTGGAGTGCAATGGCGTGATCTCGGCTCACCGCAACCTCCGCCTCCTGGGTTCAGGCAATTCTCCTGCCTCAGCCTCCCGAGTAGCTGGGACTACAGGCACGTGCCACCATGCCCAACTAATTTTTTTGTATTTTTAGTAGAGACGGGATTTCACCATGTTGACCAGGATGGTCTTGATCTCTTGACCTCGTGATCCACCCGCCTCGGCCTCCCAAAGTGCTGGGATTACAGGCATGAGCCACCACGCCCAGCCAGAAATAATGTTTTTAAATTATCTGTCATAACTTTACTTCCAAAATGCCTTTTTCTGACACTATATGTTTTTTAAATACCATATTCTCAAGAAAATAAGATGACTTCATTAGCTCTTTTCCCATAAGGAAGCAAGCAAAATGGGGTTCCCTAGAGTTAAAGCCTCAGTAAAGTCTCAGTATCGATTTGAACAATATTCTGTTAAAAAAGTTAATCATGTATGGACTATCCTGACCATCCATTTAATAACATCTGGAGCACACAATCCTATTCTGAGATAATCAACATTCTGGAAGAAAATGATAGAGCAAATATGAAATGGTTGATTTAAAAAAATTCATAAAGTAGCCTGCTGGTCATAGATGTCTCATAAGAGAACCACTTCATATATATAAACAGGTAACAGGGACCTCTACATAGCAAGTTATAGGAGTGATATCCTATCAAAGCCAGCCATGCCAAAGAAAATCCTGGTTCTATGCCTTCCCCTCAATTCTAACTTCTTGCTGACTTCAACATGAAGTTTCATTCATTCACCCGTTAGTACTTACTAAGCACCTACTAAGAAAGCACAGTTAAAACAAAAGGAACACAGTGATGAAAAGAAGCTTGCCTTCTTTAAGGCAGAGAAGAGAGACTGGTAACACACAAATGAGACAGTATATAAGGTGACATGATGAAGAATCATGGAAGTCATGAGGGGAAGAGGGCTAATCATGATCAAGAAAGACACCTCAGGGTGAAGGGGGCTTTTGAGCTGAGACTGAAGAAGCCACAGCCACTTAAAACATCTGAAGGAAGACATTTCATCAAAAGCCCTGAGGTGGTAATGAACTCGGACTATTCTACAACCAGAAAAAAAGGCCAGCACATCAGGAATACAGACTCGTGTGAATGAGGGCAGAGAGGTAACAGGGGGCTAGCTCACGCAGAGCCTTGTAGGTCAAGAATAAGGAGTGCGGATTTTGTTGCAAGAGAAAAGTCACTAGAGTAGTGATTTGCAACATGCAATTCCCAGACAAATAGCGTCAGCATCACCTGGGAACTTGTCAGAAATATAAAGTCCCAGGCCCTGCTCCACACCTCCCGATTCAGAAACCCTAGAGATGAGGCCCAGTACTCACACTTAAGTTCAAGAACCACTGCATGAGAGGGATTTGAGCAGGGAAGTAACACGAAGCTAGGTTTCTGAGTAATTTGCTGTAAATAATGTAGAGTATTAGTTTCACTAGCAGAAAACAGCAGTGTATATTAATCTAAAGAGTATATATTAATTATAATACCAGTAGTTAACCCAACAACAATATAAATACATTATGATCCATATACACTGGTATTTATTTTTGCATATTTTAAATTTCAGGGAATTCCATTTCAATTACAAGAAATAGTAAGACCTAAAACTTATTATAAATTATCTACTCCACAGTTACAGCCTTAAGTCACGGAATGAGAAATCTAAAATAGCCACACTTTTCCTCACTTCTCTCCCCAGAGTAGCTCACCTGATTCCTATACTGTCTTGTACTGCCAATGTCATCCCCATCCTTCTAGAGTAACTCATAGACCCTAAAACTTCCTCCAATCCATCCATCCCTACCCACACACCCACCTCCAACCAGAAGTAAATGTTCTCTTTGCTTCTCTGACAACCATTGACACTACAGTTGTTTGTATTCCTGTCTTATCTAGCCTACTGGTCTATACCTTTCTTTAGGATACAGGTTTTGGTTCTTAAATGCTTCATCCCTGGTTTTTCTCCTCCTACATTATACCTCACTCCCCAAAAAACTCTGTCAGATCTCACACAAAGCAAATCTTCAATACATGTTTGTTGGATTGAACAGACACGGTGTCGCAGGAATTCAAAGTTCCACAAAGATGGGAAAGTTAACAGGAGACAAGAACATGACAAACAGTATGTTCACATCATAGAATGTTTATCTACAAATGGTATTACTTCACAGTGAACGCTTTCAAAGACAGACAATGTCTCAAAGAATTCTGCTCAAGTTAAATTAAGGAACCTTTTCTCTTCCTTCAACTACACCTGCAGCTGAATCTAGACAGGTTTCAAATTCTGAATGTATCCTCTAAAGCAACTCATCTTAGGCTACTGTGCTTCAATATCTATCATAAACAATCAACATATAAAGCAAAAGAACAAACACATTTAGTTAATTCCTCCCCAGCTCCAACTATTTATAAGTATAGTGTCGGTATGCTTCCTTCTAAACTGAGCATTGTTCTTTGTCAGGCATTTGTCATAATTTATGTAAAGGTACTGTTACAGATTTCATTTTATTTTTACTTTTACTCACTGAGCACTACATTTTTACGATCTATCCGTGATGGTCTAACTACAACTAATCCATTGCTTCTAATTATTTCCTTCCTACCTTCCACTTTGCTATGGAAGTATAGGCAACAACTACACTCACCAAAGAAAATCCAAAATAAGAATATTCATTCATCCATTAACTCAAACAATATTTTTTAAATCCCTACAGCATGCCGAACACTGTGCTAAGCGCTGGAAACACAAAGCTGAAAAGGCATGGTCCACGTCCTCACAAAGCTTATGGAACAATGAAGAAGCACTGCAAACAATGAAAAGGGTACAATGCTGAGAAACAAGAACTTCCTGGTGAAAACATATTTAAAGCGTTTAAAGTCCAGCGAGAACACAAAAACAATCACCGCAAGCAGTGGAAGAGGGCATTATTTCACACAAGTACTATTAAGCTGAAACTGTAGGATGAGCACGACAAGCAGGAAGAGGATCATCTAGGCAGACAAACATGGTGTATAAAGACACAGGAAACTGTGCATGCCCTCACAACTATAATCCTGGAACTGCTGAAGCATGGAGGTGGGAGGCAATGCAGAACAAAGAAGAAGAGATGGGTTAATTCCCAACCCACAAGCCACGAATGTGCTGCATAAAAACTTTCAATGCACAAAATTTGTTTTATACACACGCTGTTATGGCAAAGTCCGATAGAGTGGAACAAGTCATAGAGAGCAATACTCAAGAGTGGAGAGCAATATGCAATGGGGTGCAACTTGCTGTGAGCAAGAGGAAAAGCAATTCTGAAGGAAGGCCAAAGGAACCGCATGGTGACGGGATGCTCGTCGGCACAGCGCAAGGCACTCCCACTATTGTGCCACAGCAGGTGCTATGTTTTAATAGCTGACTTGGTGTTTCGAGTCTTTCAATCACTTCCATTATGCAGCTAAAAATTCTGAAATGGAAATGTATCAATGACACAAAAAGGCTGAATCCACTGGGCTAGAAAATAAAGGAATTTTCTTTTTCTTAAGTAGAGACGGGGTTTCACCATGTTGGCCGGGATGGTCTCCATCCCTTGACCTCGTGATCCACCCGCCTCGGCCTCCCAAAGTGCTGGGATTACAAGCGTGCGCCACCGTGCCTGGTGAAAATAAAGGAACTTTCTATCTGACTAAAGAGTTTATATATGCCGGGCGCGGTGGCTCAAGCCTGTAATCCCAGCACTTTGGGAGGCCGAGGCGGGTGGATCATGAGGTCAAGAGATCGAGACCATCCCGGTCAACATGGTGAAACCCCGTCTCTACTAAAAATACAAAAAATTAGCTGGGCATGGTGGCGCGTGCCTGTAATCCCAGCTACTCAGGAGGTTGAGACAGGAGAATTGCCTGAACCCAGGAGGCGGAGGTTGCGGTGAGCCGAGATCACGCCATTGCACTCCAGCCTGGGTAACAAGAGCGAAACTCCGTCTCAAAAAAAAAAAAAAAAAAAAAAAGAGTTTATATATTTTATGCCGTAAGGAACAGAGGTCAGACTTGAAGAGTTCTGGAGAGGGAAGAAACACACTGCTGTTTCAGAAAGACCAGCAGGGCAGAAGTGTGTTAAATGGACTGAAGGGGCAGGAAACAGAAAAGGTAAGAAAACAGATAAGGAGAGCATTACAACAGTCCAGGCAGGAGGGGACTGAAGCCAAACAGGTGCCCTAGGGATCTGTGTGCCCTGGTGACTCAACAGCTCCAAAAGACCGAAGAAAGGAAGGAAAGCAGGATAAAAGCCCAGGTCTCTGGCTACTAAAAGCAACAAGCAAAACCTACCAGAGAAAGATCCTATCTACCTTTAAAATAAAAGCATTATCCAAAATAGATGCCCCACACACACCTTTTCAGGAAATTAACAAAATTTTTGAAAATTACCTACATATCACAAACCAAGCAGTTATTATCTAGATCTCGTTGTAATCCAGAAAACACTGGCATGAAGAGACCATTTCTAGAATTAAAGTCAACTCTGACTTGATTTTCCTAGATCACTGGCTACTTTATGTCAGAAAAATAATTTTTTTTTAATTAAAAAAAAAAAACAGTCGAGGACCTTTTAGGTTGAAGCATCAGAAGCTTCCAGGGCACTCTGGCCATGTGGTCAAAAGTAAAGCTGTCCTGAAGCATTTCAGGACCGACTATGGCTTCCTTGAGAAACCTGATACACCCTACTCAGTTTTAAAGAAACAGGGTGACAGAAGGCTTTCTCTCAAGCCTAAATTTAAACTGCTCTGTGTAGCTCGTCAGAGCTCTCTGCTGATATAAAAAGTATGGTTTCTCTTATGTCCCACAGTAAGAAGCTTGTGGATACAGAAGTGATCTTCCACTATTCCTGTCTTGTCTTTACTTCCAACTCTGGGTTAAGTGCTACTATTTCTCCTTTCAACCCTGGGGCTTCTGAGGGTCACTAAAGCAAGTTATTACAGCAAGTGACATACTCTTGAATGCCTTCACAACCAATTCTTACTGTCAGCTGGGCCTTGTGGTAAAAAAATAAAAATTAAAAAACCCCTTTCATGTATTTTCGGCAGCTTTCTGTAGACTTTCCTACTCTTCCCACCTTGCCCAAGTCTTAACACTCTGGCACCTCTAAGATCCACTGTCCACACAACAAGAGTGAGCTTTCCTAATCAATCAAGTTGTCATTTTTGCTAACTAAACCTCTTCTGTGGCTCCCACGTCCCTTCCCATGCCACGTCCACCCTTCCCTCTGGCCCGCGAAAACCTATATGCTGATAGGTCTTTTGCCTCAGCCCTTGCCATTCAGCCCTTGCCATTCAGCCCTCTGCCCAGAAAGCCCTGCCCCACCCCACCCTCCCAGCCTCCAGTGCTTCCTCCCGGCCTCTGCACCAGCCCCTAGTAATCATGCCCACTTGAACTGTTCCACTTGCAAATTTTCACAGGACTAGCTCCTTCTTGTCATT